CGTGAAATTAACAATACCCCGAGCATCTTAGAAAATGTCTTTAATTCTTTGAGGAACAGGTGTGAAAAGTGCTTGGAACAAGGAGGGGGACACTTTCAGCAGCTGCTTTAATTTATTGTTATAACAAGGAGGGGGACACTTTCCGCAGCTCCTTTAATTGTTTGTTATTGTTATCACGATTATTCTTTAAAATAAAGTTATATAGTCATTAACGTTATTGAAACTGACAGTTGCTATACAGCTCGTTGAGAAATGAGGTTAAGTTGGTCGCTATAAGCTACTCCCTACGTCCAATGTGTCACAGCCAACTTCGACCACGTTTTTATTTGAACGCTCGTTATTTACGTCATAGGAAATGCGAGAGTTGCAAAGGAAAAAGGACAACTACGTGAAGCTGCAGGAATTCTTCTCCGTCAGGGGGCAGAAGCGCGTGATGAAGGACCTGGAGGAGAAGGAGATGAAGAAGAGGGTGCAGAACAAGCAGAACATGGAGATAAAGCTGGAGAAGTACCTCCAGATAATGATCGCCATAAAGGTAAGCGGGACGATACGCGAAACCAACACCACGTGTTAATTAAAACCACCCGCCGCAGGAATTTACGGGTCAGGATCTGATCCAGACGATCGCGCACGACTTCCTGGTGCAGGAGGAGGAGAACTTCGCGCTCTTCAAGTACATCAACCACATGAACAAGGAGATGGAGGACATGAGCGACAATCTCGGCCACTTGCAGGTCGAAATAGGTGGGGCACTATTTAATTCCGTTACGAACGTATACATTTCCCTTTCTAGAGGAGCAGCAGATGTTGCACGATGCGTGGCGCAGTCAGCAGGACGTGAAGCTGGAGGGGGTGAAGAGACAGTACGACGAGGCTAAGCAGGAGGCGGACGATAAGAACGACGAGTTGAACAAGGTGGAGCAGAAGCTGGCCGTCATTATGAAGGGCATCGGACAGCTGTTCAAGCTCTTCAGGTGCAGCAACGATCCTCTGATTAAGCTTTTGGGTAAATTGACAATGTTCTATAAATTAAGAAAAAAATAAGGAACCTTAATGTATTGCGTTTTCAGGCAACAACGGGACGATCAACTATTACAACGTCTTGCTGTACTTGCAGATACTGGAACAGAACATCCAGAAGGCCTTGGTCACCGTCTACCACAAGGAGATGGGACTCGTAAGTTTTAAATTTTTAAATACGGTACAAATCAAATTACGCAACATCCGCTCGATAACAAAAGCAACAGTACGCTAACTAGTATGTACACATACAGTCATTCAGGCCGAGTATGTATCCCATTTACGTTAAAATGTTATGTTAGAAATAACGTTTGTAAATAACATGCCGTAATAACATAAGTATCTGTCAAACAGACATGATATTTAATTGTATTGAAATGAAACGGAACACGGCCGCTATTTTATGTTGTACGTACCCGTTATTTACGAGTTTGCGCTCTACGTTGTAGGTATTTGTTTCATGTTTCATAACAACAGACTACGTAGGTACCGGCAGAACGAAACCACAGCATAAGTATCAACCAGCAGTTTATCTCTCATGGGCGGGAAATTTCTCCGTAGCTGTTCGCGCAGCCGCCATTTCGGAATAGAAACTGTCAAACAGAGGCAGCGTCGGGGAGATTGTTCTGGATTATGCATTTCGTTTTCGGCTGGCGTGTGATTTTTACAGTGTCGTAGAGTGTGCGTTTATTTTGTATTTAGAATTTAGACCTCAACTCATTTCCATTAAATCATGGATATAAAAGAGAAGAAAGCAGGGACCGTATGTTCTGCCAAAAATTGCAGAAATAAACAATATGGAACGAAGAAAAGATTTTTTCGGTTTCCATCTGATCCCGTAAGGTATGTATACCAATATTAATAATGTTACATTAATTTGTATTATACATATTAATATATCTTAAGGTAGGTTTATAAAGGATGTTTCATTCCCATTATCTACTATGCTTATGTTTATGACGGTAAAATATGCATTTATAATTCATATGTGTAATGTTTTTGTTATAACAAATAATATGTAAAAATACATTGAATGCCTATTTTCGTAACATACATGTATTTTGCCTCTATGATAGATAGTAGATAGGTACATTGGCAAACTTGTATGTTTCACAACTTGTCATCGATAACAGTAGGTGTAAAATTATAAGTAGAATTACTAGAATTCCTAACGTCTAACCTAAATCATCTATTGCCCATTACTATTTGAATATGTTCTGTCCAAGTTTAGTAATTAGTTGTTTTATTTTTCAGGGCAAGAACATGGGCTATAGCTAGTAATAGAGAAGATTTATTACATAAAGTAGATAGTCTTCACAGGGGCTATAGACTCTGCAGTGATCATTTTGAAGATCATATGTTTACAAACCATCTTCAATATCATTTGAAACCCAATGTAGTGCCTACCATTTTTCCACTATTAGAGTCATCTTCCAAGCAAAAGGACCATACTTACAGTCTTCCAAGTCGAATGGTTACGGAGAACATTGACAAAAGTGCCCTTGCTGCTTGTACGTCAAGAATAAATGTTTTGCAAGATATTGTGTTGACTCCTGCCAACACTGCTACTGTTAAAGATTTAGGCGAGATAATATTACTTGTATTTTTTTTACAAACTACAAATATTTGATATTACAAGTTGTATAAAAAAAATGGAATTTAGGTGATATTAGGTGTCACATTTTATTTTCTTTCTAAACAGGGTGTTTCCTAGTAAATACAAAACATAACGATACAGTTTTATTCTTTAAATAAAGTCACTTTCCAGTGAACAGGCTAAGGGGTTTTAAATGTTGTAATAATGTTAATTGATAAATATCAAGTTCCGTAATTAATCAGTGGCACACATAAAGATAATTTGTATAATTTAACAAAAAATTTAGTGCAGACCTGCATAATGAATTTTGGGAATTTTTATCGGCTACTGTTTCCTGGCAAACTACGATTAAATTATATTTAATTATTGATAGATAGAGAAAGGGTACAAATATTAAAGGAAAACAATAATATCCAGTATATTATTAGTTGATAATACTATCTATTTAATTACAAACATGTTTGCATGAAACAAGCGTCTATTAAAATTGTCTTTTAGAATTTTTAAAAGTAATATTAATAAATATTTTATTTTCATCACAGATACAACTGGAGAAATGTCAGATCCAAGTGGTATAACAATCGAGATTAATTCACCAGATCATCAACAATATCCACCTGATGAATTACTTTCCCCATCAAGTTCCACACAAACATCTTTACAACTCTCAGCCTATACCCCAAGAAAAACAAAATATCGTCAAATAATTCAAGATCTCCGCAGCGAAAATAAATCTTTGAAAAGGCAACTAGAAAAACTGGAATCGCAACTACAGAATATTGAAGAACACATTTCTTTGGAGCAGTTTAAACGCCTGGTTCACAAATTTTGTGAAAGCCCAAACCTAGCTAATTTTATAATCATCCAAGTTAATGAAGTAGGTAAACATCCAAAGGGGCGTCGGTACTCTGTCGAATTTAAAACGGAGTGCTTGGCCATTTACTACACAGGACCTAACGTGTACAAAAAGCAATTAATGAAAAGGTTCTGTTTGCCATCTCCTCAAACTTTGTATAAAACTGTTAGAAATATTACAATTGAACCAGGATTAGAAAATAACCAGTTATTCCAAATGTTAGAAATGAAAATTGAGCAATTTAGAGAAGAGGATAAATACTGTTGTTTATTATTAGATGAGATGTCCATCAAAGCCAACTTATTTTATAACATAAGAACAGATGCAATAATAGGTTTAGCAAAAAATAGAGATGGACAAAATACTTTCAAACCAGCACTTACTGCTCTCGTTTTGATGGTGAAAGGTATATTTCATTCATGGAAACAGCCATTGGCATTTTTCTTTTCACATTCAACTTGTAATGCTGTATTCATGAAGGAAATAGTAATAGAAGCCATAAAAAAACTAAGTTCTATTGGTTTGAAAGTTTGTATTTTAACGTCAGATATGGGGTCAAATAATTTACTTCTCGCAGAATTGTTAGGAGTTAGTGAAGAAAAGCCATATTTTTTTATTGAAAATTTGAAAATAACGTATATGTTTGACATTCCTCATATAATTAAAGCTATCAGAAACAACCTTCTAAAATATGACTTTATTTACAAAGAAAATAAGATTTCTTGGCAGCATATCAAAAGTTTTTATGAACATGATAAGAATTATCCTATGAGAGGAGCACCCAAGCTTAGCGATTCACACATTTACCCTAATAATTTTGAAAAGATGAAAGTCAAATATGCTACACAAGTTTTCAGTGCCACAGTTTCATCCCAACTAAATTTATATATTAGGTTTGGTTTTATCCCCACAGAAGCTATAGGCACTTCCGAATTTGTAAATAGAATGGATAAATTATTTGATTTATTAAACTCTTCAAAAACATCAGGAACAAAGGAATATAACAGAGCCTTTAAAGGACTAGATTATCAAATGAATTTTTTAAATGATTGTTTAATATATTTTTCTGAACTTAACTTTTTTCATAATGATAAAAATATTACTAATAAAATAAAATGTTTTAAATATTTACGTCACTCTATAAGTGGTCTCAAATCATTATGGATTACGTTAAATGCCGCAAAATATGATTATTTTTTCACACGAAGAATTAACCAAGACAGTTTAGAGAATTTTTTTGGCACGATTAGAAGACAAAATGGAAACTGTGTGAATCCCACTCCGATTCAGTTCCAACGATCATTTAAAAAACTCATTTGTTTAAATTTATTTCACTCTGGCACTGAAAATTGTGAAGCAGACCCCGACTCAATTTTATTAAGATTAGCTGATATTCCAAGTGAACCGTTATTAGAGACAACTGAGGAATATCATGTACTCGATCCAGCCACTCGAATTAATGCAGATTATCGTACCGATGATATTTTACAAAAAAATTATGCAAGGTATATTTGTGGATATTTAATGAAAAAATCATTAATTTTACACTCCTGTGATATTTGTACTACATATGCCAAATCTCATGAAAATCTTGACGATTCATCTTTATATTGCTATTTTAGAGCTTACCAAAACAGCCAACTTGATATATTTGGTAATCTTAATATGCCTCATGATGATTTCGTTAATTTTATAACTTGCATAGAAATTATTTTTCAAACACATTTTGAGGAGTTTGTTATTATTAACAATATTGTAGCTCGATTTGTTAATAGGTCCATAGAAACAGTAAAGTATGTTCACCCTTGCTCAAATTTCCCTTTAAAATATGTTTTAAAATTATATATTAGAACTAGATTGTATTATACTTTAAAGAATATTAACAAAAATTTTATAAATGTAAACAAAAATAAGTTGATTATATGGCGTCACCAGTAGAAATATGTTTTATTTTTGTATTTCTTAAAAAAACACCAATATGAGCCCACATTTCATTAGCATAAAAAAATGCTATAAAATCATTCATTTATTCATTATTTCTAGCAGTTCTGGTACAGTTTCATCCGGTATAGTGGTTTAGGTCAATTGGGATAATTTTTCTGAAGCAATTCAAATTTGAAAACGTTTATTTTTAAATATTTAAGTAACTATATAAAAATATAATAATTTATATTAAAACCTATATTGTCGATAAAATACATAAATTGCAATTTCTGTGAGTATCAAAAATTTCAAATAGGTTTTTAATTTAGCTTCATTATATCATTAATCATCTAAAACCTTTTAAATAACTCGAAGAGCACAAACACAATCATGCTTTTCTTGATAACATATTAGTAATCATATAAATATCTATTTAATTTTTATTGTTGGTAAAAAAGTTTTATTTTTCATACAATGTACCTACATATCTCGATGATATACCAAACTTAACAAAATTCGAAAATTTTAAATACTCTACTGGATTATTGGACCAATTTTCCTAGATACATCTCTGACTTCTATTCCCAAAATATGGCGTCAAGGTTATTGAATTTAGTTTGGTTTTCTCAAGAGTAAGATATATTGCTGGTTGATATCTATGCTGTGACGAAACCATCACAATTAAAACTTATTAATGCTTTATGACAACAGTTTGCTACTAAAGTTAATTTATTGAGCATGAATTTGGGGAAAAACCACACAAAACAAAAAAAAATTAAAAGACGTATTTTTTTTATCGGCAGGAAAACATGTTTAGGGGTGAAATACATCTTCTAAGTTCGCCCCTGCTCAAAACAGATTTTTCTAAATATCTGGGGTTCTCGTCAATATTTTGGAACGAATCAAAATGCAAAATTACTTATAAAAAAACAGATGTTTCATTAGTGTTTTCGTGTTTGGGGGTTGCTACTCTTATTTTTTATTTCAGACTATATTTTTCAAACAATTTTTATAGGTATATAAAAAATTCATATTTGTTAAAAAAAAAATAAAAATATGATTATGTAAATAAATTGACAAAATTAATAAGTTCTCTTTTTAACGGGTGAACCTAGTGTGCGAAAAATTTCTGTGCTGACTAGAATTAACATTTTAAAATAAAAAGTTTTTACTTTTTCTCTAATCATACGAATAATTTTTTCTCTTGGTCTAAAACGGATTTAAACTGATGCAAACTACCCCTGCTGTTCATCCCCCGATAAACGGGTTCAGTAATTTCCATTTTGTTTCTTTCCAAAATATTTATTAGATTCCGAGATATCACGGATATACTGTGTTTGGGGGTGAACATCAGGGGTAGTTTGCATCTGTTTAAATCCGTTTTAGACCAAGAGAANTCTATGCTTAAGCCGGGGATTAGGTCGGTGATTAAAAGGAAAGAAAGGGATTCTTTACAGGTAGCCTTAATAAAGGCAGGTAGATCTTGCTCGTTGCAATGCACTTCACCTCACAAACAAACACGTCCGCTCAGCTCGGCTGTTCGCTCTGAACTGACATGCGCACCATTCCCTGTTTACTTGTCAAGGACAGAGCGATGAGGCTTTCCTTCCGGTCAAGATCCAAACAAAACTCATAGTATATAGATAGTATGTATATGCTTAACACAATCAAACTCGAGCTAACCGGGTTTGATGTGGTTTGGGTCGCCAAAAAAACCTTTTTGTGCCAGGACCAAGAAGAACCATAGAAGAGACAAATTACAAAGAAAAAACATCTCCTGTGGCCACGGAAAAACTTCGCAGTGACCCTGACGTACCCTATCCCCGGCCCCGCACCGGCCCACGAGTCACCGACTCAAAACTCAAAGGCCGCGTGCATTCCCTAGCTACAAGCTATTCCCAAAAACCCATTCCTCACGACGACTACCCTCTGGGGGGTTAGACAAGCCGGAAGAAAGAAAAAAGCTCGCAAAAAGGCGCGATGAGAATCCTAAAGAAAAACGACAATAATGACATTACCTGATAGCCACAGCAATCAACATATTGTTTTCATCGCCTACTGAACTCAAAGTTTTAAATCCGTGACAGTGCTACGCAAACCGAAACGTACAGACCTGCAAATAATTTTTTTTGTGGCCACAATAGTTCAAATAAATGTGCCAAATTTTAACGCGATCGGTAAAAGGGTTATGAAGTTATTAATTAAATTAGTATTATTTTTGACAACTTTGAAGGCCTGTAACTCAAAAACCAAAAAGGTTTTATTTAACTTTTTTTTCGTAGATCGTATTTATTTATCGTCGTGAATATGCAGTCATTGTCAGTGAAATTTGCGGACACCCTGTATATTGTTTAAACCCACATTGAATTGGTTGATAAGAGATAAGATAAATTATTTTAATTAGTTGACATCGAATACGTAAGAATGAACTTGAACAGCATCAGCTGTGCTATAAGAATACTTAACCTAAACCATAAAATAATTCCATCAACCCTTAATATTTTCAGATTTTGTCGTAACAATTTTACCAGCATAATGAATAAACCATCTGTTTATATTACACGTCAAGTTAACGAAGAAGCACTAGATATATTAAGGGAACAGTGAGTTAATATAAAATACCTAGATAAATAACTTTAAGAACGATTTATACTTCTATAACAAATTACAGTTGCGAAATTACATCTTGGACTGGAGAAGGTCCTGTCCCAAGAGACGAGCTTTTAAGAAAAATAGAAGATAAAAATGCGTTATTTTGTATGTTAACAGATCAAATAAATTCGGAAGTATTAAATAAGGCAGGAAAAAAATTACAGATTGTAGCTACAATGTCGGTTGGATATGATCATTTAGATGTCGACGAAATTAAAAAACGAAAAATAAAAATGGCTTACACACCAGATATTTTAACAGATGCTACAGCTGAATTAACCGTTGCATTACTTTTAGCTACTAGTAGAAGAATTTTAGAAGCAAATGAAGCAGCTAAAAATGGCGAATGGAAAGCCTGGTCTCCGTTTTGGTTGTGTGGTACAGGACTTCAAAATTCTACTGTAGGTATTGTTGGATTTGGTAGGATCGGCCAAGAAATAGCAAAACGACTTAAATCATTTAAACCAAAAAACATAGTTTATTACAATAGATCTGAAAAAGCTGATGAGGCTAAATTAGTCGATGCAAAACGGGTAACTTTTGACAAACTATTAGCAAAAAGTGATTTTGTTATTGTAAGTTGCTCTTTAACACAAGATACTCAGCATCTGTTTAATGAAAATGCTTTTAATAAAATGAAACGCACAGCCATTTTTGTAAATACTAGTAGGGGAGGTGTAGTTGATCAGGATGCTTTAATTAAAGCTCTTGAAAATAAAATAATTTTAGGTGCAGGGTTAGATGTTATGACACCAGAACCTTTACCATTGCACAATCCACTTTTTAAATTAAAAAATTGTGTTATTCTACCTCATATAGGTAGTGCCTGTATACAAACACGGAAAGAAATGGCTATCCTTTGTGCCAAGAATATTATTGCCGCTCTTAGAGGTGAAGAGCTACCGTCAGAATTAATAATTTAAATATATTTTAAATTTCATAATTCCAAGGGTTGATAAAACTTGGATTTTTTTATACAATGCCAACGATGGCTTGAATACAAAGCATAGACGAGTGTATAAAATAAGAATAGTTAAGGTATTGAAGTAACTCAACATAATAAAAAAAATCTTTATTCAACAAAAAATAAAATATATGTAACATACCTATACATGATTCTATGTGGGGATAATCCTGGCAAAAAAAAACAGACTGGTGACAATCCTAGACTTTATTTTTCATCACAGGAGCAATACCAATCCAGATACTGTTTGTCAACTGTCTTTGTTTATTGTTAAAGGAGTTGCCTTATTTATTTCTTTCTCATTATAATAACCTTTGTAATTGAGATATAGCCAGTGCCAGTACTATACAAGGTACTCTATATCATTATGTTTAAATTTTTGGAATATAGATTTAAGGTCAATTTTGTTAAGGAGAAAATGTAAATAAACAGATTTAAAGTTGTAAACCAAATAAATACTTTTCTTGGAAAAAAAAAATGTACCCGAGAATAGCAAGTTATAGTGATCCAGTTGGGTGGTATATCACCAAACCATAATCCTTTTATTTCTGGGTACAAGATTTAGACCATTTTCTACTTGTTTGTACTTTTCCACTTAATGTACACTGAAAATATTGATAGGATAAATAAAAAATATACTCAATGCACACCAAGTGCAAAAGAGGCAAGTAAATTAAAAATGCTGTTGGTACATGCACAAGTTGGAAACACTAGATAAGTTATTAGAGCGTACTCAGTAGATTTCCCAACAATTAAGAGAAGTGTGATATAACAATTTCATTTATTATGCGCCTAAAATTCATACATAAAGATATGGAACATATTGCATATTCATTTTGTTTTTTAATGTTTTAGGGGATATAAAATATTTAATTTTATGAGATATTTTATTGCAAGATAAAATTTGTACAACAAAATATTAATTTCATAATTAGATTTGTATGTATTACATAAGTACATATGTCATATATATTTAATTTACTGCATATATGTGGGTTATACTTTTGTAAATATAAATATTGAATACATTTTGTACATATTTTATTTTCTCCCAAAATATTTATACATAATTAGACAACTAAGTTAAGAAACAAAACTCTAAAACAAAACTCTAATTCGACGGGGATGCAATTACGAAAAAAAAAGTAATACTCTAGTTTTCAAGCTTACAAAACTTTTTTTTTTCATCAGGAAAATTAATTGAGAACTGTAATCAAAGTTGACATGAGTGGTGTCATTACCCTTGTATCATAACCTTTGTCACCGGTGAGGTCTAAGCCAACTCCACGCGTCATTTCCTAACTATTTTTTTAAAGTGACAAGCTACGTCCTTGCTCTTCTAGCTCGTACGTTGCGTAAGTATTATTTGCATTTACTTAGGTATATTTATTTTTGCTTCATTTTGAGAATAATAAACACTGGAAATAATGGAAACGCGATCAAAGGTATACCAGCAATAATGTGCAAATTGTTTGACTTTTGTAATTGTAATTTGTTGTTGTTTTTCAATAAATCTAAATCTAAAATAAAATTCACTATTCAGTTTAAGAGCAGCTTTTGGACAGTTTAAATGAGGCTGATTCTAATGCTCCTAACATGAAGCAAAGATGCCATGTTTGCCCCAGATCCGAGGACAAGAGTACTATTGTTTGTAAAACTTACAAAGAAAAAACTATTTGCAAGCCATACTCAATGTCGATTACTTATTATGGGCCCAAATATTTTCTAGTTTACTGAGATACAGTAAGGTTGCAGCATTGTCATTTTTCTCTTTATTTTTATTGTTTATGTTGATTCCAATTACAAATTTTTGGTTCCTATTTTATTAGAAAATAATAAGTTATTTAAAAGTTGGTTGTTTTATTAAATTTTAAGCCATTAGGTAAGTGCCTTAAAAATATCACTGAACAAGTTTTTTTTTTGTAAAAGATAATATTACCTAACAACCTGATTGTTTTAGTGATAATAAATACTTTTCATAATAATAATGTATTTTTTGCTATTGTGGATTAATATTTAAGTAATTTTCATAAATTGTTGCAAATATTATAAAACATTTATGGGGATACTTCTGGACCCCACGCGTCACTGTTATTTACCAAAAAGAAAGCGTGTACTTAAAGGTTAATACATACTTTTCGAAAAATGTCACATGAATTTGTATCATTATTTTTGTGAGTAGAATCATCTAATATATCATAGTTTCTGGACACCCCATATATATATATACATCATGCTATATTTCTGGCTTCCTTACAAAGAACAAACATATGGCTTCTACTAGAAATAAACGGAATATATCTATTCTCATCAAAGTATATTAACCGCCATCTATCGCTTTGACATCCCATATATTTGGTTTGAATGAAAAATATTTTCATATTTCACTATTCAGTGCTTAGGGATTCCTTTCAAAGTGCTGAATATGTGGACTCTTCCCAGTATATTTTTCCGTTTATGTGAACTCCAATATGTATATTATATTTTATCTTACAGTACATATGAAAACCAACGCTGTTGCCAAATTTCTTTGTTCTTCGCGACGTGTATATGTTCCGTATTCGGTCAATATTTGGTTCGATTTATATAAAAGACAGTCTCTAAATTGATAATGCGATGCGGTTTTATTTTAAATACCTGTACTATTTTTTACATTGTTATCAGTATATGTTATTATTAATTACTATTATTATTAAAATATCTTCTTAAATTTTTTGAAGCTTTATGCATATTGCTCTAGTGGTTTTTGAGATATACATAATTTAACAAAAATTGACAAAATTTGATCGCCAAAACCACTGAAGCAATATGCACAAAGTATAAAATTTATGTACAAGTATATTGCCGTAAATGAAATGGTAGATATCCTTAATTAAACTTCTTTATGTACAGAGATGGATGGTTAACGCACTAAATTTACACCCTGTATATTTTGAGAGGCTCTTTCTATTTTTTCAAACGT